TCGAATATGAATATTCATAATATATTCATTATACCACCATATTATAGGGGTTTGGTCCGGATGATGACGGAATGAAGGGAGCTGAATTTATCATTGGCATAGTAAGTCTCATCAAAGCATGTAAATATGATAGTAAATTGTTTATTATAAGAAAGATTACTATTTAAAAACTTTTACTCTACGTATTATATCAAAAGGTTACTAATGGAAATGTCACATTGGGAAATTACCATGCCGATGTAGGTGGTTATCATCCTCCTCTTCGTGATGATAACCAAGATCCCTCACTTGTACCAAATTTTTCTATGTCTGATACCAAAGCTGTGACTGTAGAGTTCCAAAGGCTTCTCCGCCCGACAGGAAAAAAACCAATTTCAAGTGGTGATATGAAATGTACGATATTTAATTTTTAATATTCTTGTATCGTTGAAAATTTTGCAATATTGGAACTAAATCATTATATACATAGATATTTTGGCTTATAATCCAAACAGCAACGCATTCACATACCATCAAAATAATCGCATGTTGTTTCGAGTAAACTTTTATAATAGTGAAATCAGTTCTGCAGCCTCAACCGATCTTCAAAAGTTGGTTAGATTAGTTCATGGTTGTGGAATGATCATTACGTGGTGGTAAATGTCTCTATACTGGTAATACAAACTCTTCAAAAGATAATAGACAACCTAGATAACCGGGAGTGTCTTGGTATAGAACCTAAGCATGCAAAAAGCGAGTTTAAATCAACCTTAGGCACTAATTAAGAATGACGAGAACGTTATTTAGATATAATATGTGATGGTTTATTTTTTAAGCCTTTAAATTTCTATCATTATTATAAGTCTCCTTTTTAGAGTTTGTATTACTGATAAAATAAAGTGAAGTTATCTAAATATTTATTATGTATTATCATTTTAGCATTTTATTAAGATGTGGCCATATAAATTGTAAAGAGCTGTTTTGTATTATTTGTGAAAGACGAGTAAACTATGCAGGTTGACGGCCTTTGGTTGCTTTGTTTGTTTGAAGATAGATGTTGTTTCAGGGCAGGAGAGATTTGTTGTTTGCAGTTGTGATTTGTTCTATAAATAAAATTTTGTTGTTTTTAAGACTATTAATTGTAAGGTTGTTAGGAGTTTTAGGAAGTATATCATATATTAGATGTGTATTTTCTGGAATAGAGAGGGAATAGGTTGCAATTTGAGGGAGTGGGGAGATTGGTATATTATTTTTGGCAAGTTGTGTAATGTGAAAGAGAAGAGTGAAGTTGTGAGTTTTCTATAATATAGAAGAAGTATTTCCTTGGTAAGGCTAGAGCACCAAACTTTTAAAAGCCAGGATTTAATTTGAGAAATACCAATTTCATTAAGAAGTGGAGAAGAATTAAAAGTATATTCAATATTAGAAACACTAACTTTTTGAATAATGTTATTAAATGTTGGTAAGTTAAAGGTAAGAGGATTTAGTAGTGAGGTGTTATTAGTGTTTTTAGCAAGTAAGAGCATTTTTTTTGCTTGTATAGAGAATAAGCGAGAAAGTTTAGTTTGTATATTTTTTTGAATAGGTATAATATGTAGAAGATATTCTAGTGAGAGTTGAAGTATAAGGTTGAATAAAGATGAGATTTGGGATAGGAGAAGTTTTTTAAATCTAATAAGTAATAAGAAGTTTTCTATTTTATTGTAAATCATATTTAGTGTCAGTTTAGCAGAGCCTTTACCATCATAGTAAATATCAAGGTATCTAATTATATTAGTGGGTTTTTTGGGATTGATTATTTGATTATTGAAATAGAGTGGGTAGTTTGGTATTTTGGAGTTTTTGGAAGAGATATAGAGGAGATCAGATTTAGATAGATTGACTTCAATATTGTTGATTTTGTACAAAGTAGAGGCTTCATTAATAATTTTTTGCAGAGTTTTGGGATGATCTGAGTGCCAGACAGTATCATCCATATAGGCTAATAGTGGGATAGTTATAGTAGTTGGATTTGAGTTAGAGATCAAGTCAAGTAGTGAGATAGAGGAGATTTTAAAAAAGTGATCTTTGAATTTTTGTGAGATGAAAGTAAGAATTGGGTCATAATAAGTTTTCTATAGAAGGGAAGAGTAGGTCTCTTCTTGTTCTATGTCTGATTTTATGCGAACTGGTGATATTAGACTATAAGCTGTAATTACTCTTGCAAGGCGAGAAGTATAAAGTTCCGTTATTAGATTTATGCTAGCAACAAGAATACTAATTCTTCAGCAAGCTTCTTGTAGGCGTCCAATATTGATTTTGTCAAAAGCTTTCGACATGTCCTGAAACAATATCCAAGCTTCTTTATTGTAAGCAATATAATGTTCTATTGTATTATATAGAATTTGAATAGAAGTATGTGTTGAGGAGTTTTTGGAAGCTGCGTAATTAAGATTCGAGAGAAGGTTATTTGATAAGATAATTTTATCTAGGTGTTTAGTAAAGATTTTGGTAAAGAATTTTTTAAGGGTTCAATAACAGAGATAGGACGGACTTGGTTAAGGGTGAAGTCCCAGTTGGACTTTTTGGGGATAAGAAAGATATTAGAAAATTTCCAATTAGTAGAGACTTTTTGAAGTTGAAAACATTTGTTTAAGAGGGATTGAAGGATTTTTTGTGCTTTTGGGCTAGCATGTTTGATAT